AAACCCCCCAACCCCCAATGCGGAATTCATTTTTCTAACATGCAAATGATTAGGCTTGTCAAATCTTTTTTGCTTTTTTCAGGTAAAGGATGTCCTTTTGTATATGACAGCACGAGGAAATCTCCAGAGGCTTATGCCAAAAGAAATCAGAATTCTAAAATATCTACTCACAATTGAGGATCCTGAGGAGCGATTGTGCACTTTGAAAGATGCCTTCACAACGGGAGAAGAACTCGAAGGGAAAGATGTAGATTGCTTATACACATTGTATGAATCTAATATCTAATCATTTTTCTCTTTACATTGAATTTCTCACAGCATTCATGAAGTATCTTTAACCTGTTGCCTTGACGTGGAAGCACTCCTATCAGATGCATATCGTTCTGAAATTTTACATATTTTGGAGGCTTTGCCTTTGCCTTTGCCTTTCCCTTTCATTTTTTTTTCCATATTCACTTTTAACTGTTATTAATAAATCCCTGATCCTTACAGGACTCCAGAGCAGCTATACAACTGGATTAGGACAGTGGTGGATGCATATAATTTCAGTAGAGAAGGCACTCTCATAAAAGAAGCCAGAGATTTGATGAACCCTAAAATAATTCAGAAAATGGAGGAATTAAAGAAGTTGATCTTAGATAACTTCATGTGAGCATTTGCTTGCTTTAAAATAGCTATGAGATTCACCGGCTCGTGCCAGATTCACCAGCTCGTGCCATCAACATCCATAAGCATATGTCCCAGCTATGGGACTGCTGCTAGTGCCAGATGCGGTGACCACATGATTGCATCGCAGAATTGAGCTGATAGGTTCAATCTCCTCACATCGAAGCCTTATCTCGGGTTTGTCGATATTCCTGAAAGTTTATCAAGGATTGCAAGGTGATTCCAGGTGAGATACTTGTGACGCGACATAGGCTCTTGGTGATGGACGTTGGTATTATGGTGAAGAGGAGGAAAATGTCGGGTCGAGGAAGACCGAGAATCAGGCGGGGAGCCTTAACTAAGGACAAAGCTCAAGAGTTGGAAGGGCGGTTGTCGGTTATGGGAGCTTGGAGGAGTAGTGGTGATGCGAACTCTATGTGGTCAACGACAGCAAACTATATAAGAGAGGCTGTGAGAGAGGTGTTAGGGGTCTCAACGGGTGTCACCGGCAGGCATAAAGGAGAATGGTGGTGGAATGAAGTAGTACAA